ACCGCGCTGCGGCCGACGGCTCGGGGGCGGGGTAGGAAATAACCGGGGCCGCCAGGCAGCTGGGGCCACTTTCGCTCCCGCGTGCGTTGCTTCCCGCCGGGAGGCGGTTCGGGATCCCCCCGCCGCCGGCCGCCCGCTAACAAAGCCCGCAGGAGTCCTTGTGAGGATACCGAGACAGGCAGAGCACAAAGGCCTGCCTCCTCCGGCGGTGGAGAGCCAGCGTAGTAACCAGCGAGTAGAGAGGCGGGTTCTCTGCAAACAGCTCTTGCTTGGCTTTAAATCGCGGATGGGTAAAATGTTCGGTCTTTGCTGCCGGATTAAAAAAAAAAAACCTGTTTTTCTTCACCTGTCCTTTATAAAGTTTCATTTCTAACTGTCTTAATATGTGTTTACAGCTAGAAAGGGGTAACTCCTTAAATATTACCTCTTGGCATTATTCTCTGTCAGGGACTTCTGTGTGGATTTTGCTGTCATTGCTGCTAGTTGAGTTTCTTTCCAGGTAGGAAGAAAGTGAAGGGGATCTTCATTCTTAAATTAATTAATAAAGGTAGTCACATTTAGACTTCGTTCATCCCTTTTGCTGCAGTTGCATTGGCAGGTTAGGTTGCTTCTCTGTTGTTAATGAAAACAAATTCTGTTGTTAATAGTGATTAAAAAAAAAAAAACCCTAACAAACAGCCACCTCACTGCAATCATCCCCCCTCAAAGGCTGGGTAATAAGGGCTCTTAGAGGACAGGACTTCATTTTTCATTTGGAGGTGTGTCCTGCTGCTCTGTGAAGTAACATCATCCTGGTAATGTACGTTCTAGATAACTTCCTAAATGAGACAACTTCAGTATAAAACCTTTAGCTTTAGATTTAATAACGAGTGTTGCATTGTGCCCATTGGGCTTGAATCTGTATTCCCTGCAACCTTCTCCTGATGCTTTTCCATTAATTTCAGTGGAACTATTACTGATGCCTTCTTACATGGATGGGAAGAGCCCACATTTTTCCGGTGGAATAAATGTGCCTTGTTTTGCGTTAGCATTCTTCCTAGAAGTCCTTTTCACATCTTCAGCATAATGCTAGGGAAGAAATGTAACGGGATGAAAGAAAAATGTGCTGCTATGACCATTGTCATTTAAAGGAAAATGAGCTTCTTTCTCATTTCATAATTTTTCCTTCAGGCCCTTTCAGAACAGTAGAGTTTGTTTCATTCCTAATTTTAGCCAGAGGAAGCTTTTATAGGTATTGGCTTTTAAAGCAATCAGTGGCCTCTGCATTAAATGGCTGTCGCTGATTGATCATGTGAGGACAGACTGGACCAAACAAACCTCCTGAAGAAGTTAATCTTACCAGCTTTGCCAGCTATAGTCAGTGATACAGTTAGTCTTTCCTTTTTTTTCCTAAAGAAAAAATAGGGAAAAAAAGGCAGGAAATTAAAACCCAACCTTAAATTGTCTTTCTCCTCCTTCCCCTAAAAACCCCAGCTTAATACAAGGCTAATCAAAGTAGGGTTGTAGCCATTTGTTATTTTCACTAGCAAAAAAAAAGTCAGTCTTCCCCATGTTTGTGAGCTTGCATTGCCTCTTGTTCTGTCAAAAAGTTGTTGGCAGACTTTTATGAAATAATATAATGGAATAGCGGAAAAACATGCTAGAGAAGGCTCGGGCAGTAGACTGCTGTTTTCTTTGCCCTACCTACAGATCCCAGAAACAGTGCATCTGTGTGAGTACCTTCAGGCTCAGAAGACATTGGCATCCCAACATCTTCACACTCTCTTCAATTACACTGTCAGTGGTTAGGTTTTACTTAAAATATGCTCCCAGTGGAGAGAAGTAACGTCGTTTAGTCTTCATGCTGCTTTTGATCCCAATTCAATGGAGACTAACACATGGAAAAGTAAATACAGTTCTAGATTCTCCTTTTAAAGTAAGGAGTTTAAGTATAGCATCAGTGATGGTGTATGCTCCTGGTCCAAGTTTATTAATAAAATGAGATAGTTCACTTTTGTTCACATCATCATCTGATGTTATCAGAACTTAGCTAAAAATCTGGTGAAGGTTGCAGTGATGAACCACTGTTGATCAACTTCATACAAGAACTTCTGTTGAAGCAGGAGCTCTTAATTTTTCAGCTCTCTATGCAAGGGTTTGGGCTACCAAATATCAAGAAAACCTCCTTAGGTATCAACTATTTTAAAGTGAACCATTGACAGAATACATGCAGTGAAGGAAGCTCTATTAATTAATAGCAAACTTCCTGTTACAAATGGCGCAGGTGGACTACAAAGGGGGTTCTGTCCCATTTGCTCAGATTTCTTAGGAACAGGGATAAAGGTAGTATATATTCTTTCTGTCTTATTACCAGTTTAGGTTGCTTTTAAGGTGAAGTCCATCTTGTCTTGCAGTTCAGAAGGAGTAAAAGTGCGTTCCCTCCCACCCCCCCCTTGGAAAATTTATAAGCAGTTTTTACAAAATTAGCCTGCACTGAAGTGGTTTTTACCACCATTTTAGCACTCTCATTCTTGTGATACAGGCAGACTACTGTAGACAACACGATCAAATCAAATAGAGCCTTTTTTGCACCGCCCGTGATAATTAGAAGAGATGTAAACACTGATTTTATGACAGTATTCTACTCATCTTTTTATGTTACCCATCTAGCAAGTTAATTCTGTACAAAATTATGTCACTGTTACTACACACATTTTCAGTACTACACATTTTCTGCCTTGCACACGTGCAGCAAAACATCTTGCACTTTGTCTTTCAATTCCTCCAATGCCTGTAAACTTTGGCTTAGAAAATTCTTGATTAGAAATCTGAAACTAATGCTGGTTTTAAAATCAAGATCTGTTCATTGGTGCTCAGAACCCCTGATGTGGGGGAAAAAAGTGCTTATTGTATTCTATTCAGCAGAAAAGAATAGCATCTATTCTATTTAGTGAAATGCATCGTAGCTCTTTATTTCACTGCCAATTAGAATGAGTGTACTCGTATGTCAGCACAGGTTATATGCTCTAGATCAGTTTGTTGGGCAATAGAGAGCTGTTGGAGAACATTATATTTTATTTGGCTTTGTATAGTAATTTTATTGGTGTATATTTGGAATTAAATGTTTTTATTACTTATTCATGGCACATGTGATTGCTTCTCAGGCCCTGGTAGTGGAGGATTCTGCAAGTTTATTACTGTTTCTGGTCATGTTAGTCTTAAGTACTGAAGTGGGCTGGTGGTGATACTATACCCTGTGTTCTCAGTGCCCATGGATATGTTTATATTTTTGTTTTTACAGTAGCAGAATTGACTGTCTTACAAGACAGCGATGGCTTTTTCTCTAGAATTTGAATATGGAGGCCACAGGGACAGATGAAGTAGAAAAGATAAAATCAAAATTTATGTCTGCGTGGCACAACATGAAATACAGTAAGTGAAACAGTCTATGGTAAAATCCTGTCTCCATTGAAATGAATGGAATGTTTCTTGTTGACACGAATGGAATCATGATTCAGAAACTTAACTAATATTAATAATAAAAATGCAATATGGCCCTTGAAACCATTTTTACTTTGATGCTATAAACAGCCCCAGTAAAGAAACTTGTTTAGCTTTTCCTTTTTCAAATAAATTTGCATAATTTCTTTTTAAATGACTTATTTTGAACACAGTAGATACATCATGTAAATGACACTAGATTTGCATAGACTTTTAAACAGGGATAATATGGAATCATCTGTGCAAAGATTTTTTTTTTTTTTTAATATGTACTTTTCTGGAAAAAATAGGACGGTGTGTGAAATAAACTCCACTGAAGAATCTACTTCACACATTTGAGTAACATAGTTTTCACAGTTGAACATCGGTAATTTGTTTATAAGCAAACAAATTTTCAAGTGTGCCCTTTACTAATCTGTCCTTAACCTTAATTTTTCTACTTTTCCTCTAGGACTGAGGTTGCTCAGATTTACCACCGGGTTTCTGATAAATTTTGTTAATTCTCATAACTGAGCCTTGGAGATGTCTGGCAAGATGAAAAGATACTTTCTTCTACTTTCTTTAAGGCTACCATATGGCTGAAGGGGAATAGTAGTCATTATACCCTATATGTGATAGGAAAAGTTCAAAAAACTCTATGGACTTAGGATATAAAACACCACAGGATTTAGACTTAAATGAAAAAGCTACTGTCTGGGGATATTGTCAAAACCTAAAAACTGAATTCTGTCCCTTTGAATTTGTACAGTATATTATACTACCCTTTTTGTGTCTGAAATCTGCAGTTTAATTTTGTGGTAAGGTATATTTAATCCTATGGGAAAAGCAGTACTCTTCATGCATTTTCACTGGACGTATGAGGCTGATTGTATGTTATTATAGGAGTTGGAAACTTCACAGAATCATAACTATGCAGTAACGAATTCACAATAGAGACAAAGCAACTTAAGCTCAGCTTTAGCATTTCTGTATCCTAACAATTTCTGCGCAGTAGTACCATTGTATTAACATTCAAACATTCATATATGGGTAACATCATTACTTTTAAACCAGAACTCTAGTCTGTGTTTTGTAGAACTATTAAGCATTTTGTTATTTATGAAAGCAAAATCCAATTTCAGTACATTTTCTCTATATTCACCTTTCAAGGGTTACCTTTGGCTTAACCAGATGCTATTACCAATTGCTTTTTGGAATACTTTAGTCACAAATTTGGGGGGGTTTTTTTGTGTCTGTTTTAGGTTGGGTGTTGAAAACAAAAACTTACTTCAGCAGAAACTCTCCAGTCTTTCTGCTGGGAAAATGTTACCACTTCAAAACTGATGGTATGTACATAGCACTTAACTCATTCCAGTCTTATTTGGCAGGAGCTCTGTGGATATATTTTTAATCTTCTAGAAAGACCCTCATTAACAATTACCAAATTCAAAATGTAAATATGAAAAGCTTTGAAAGTACTAATTTAAATGTCCAACACCACCACTAATGCAACCCATCCTAACCTGCTTTATTCATATTTTACAGTGAAGTCTTGTTCTTTCTGTAAATATTAGTGCTGTAATTTGCACTTTCGTTCATTTACCTGTCAATTTGAGATTTTCCTTCTAAAAACTCCTGAATGAAATAGTGACAATACCTGTACAAAGAGTCACTACACCAACACCTTCGTTACCATTTTCCAGTATGCAGTTTTCTAAGAATCTCTCTTTTCGACCATTTACATTTAGGTGAATTAAGCAGTTAGTTACTTGCAAGTCAATGATTCCATTGGCACAGTAATGTTGGCTGCATTGCTCTTCCCCCACCCCCCCCCCCCCCAGCTGGCACATTTCTATTGTTTTTGCCTTCCAATTTTCCTTTCTTGTATTTGAAGCGATTGTTACTTTTTGCAAGTTTGCCTTGTCTTTCTAATAGAATAGTTGCATGTTTTTACTTTCCTTCTAATAACAGAAGTGCCGTACCAAGTTATAACTTAAATTTGTGCTTTGCCTTACAGAATCTGGTGAACTCTCTACAGATGGGTCCAATTTTGATAAAATCAACACAGAGATTTCAGGAAATGTTGAGGAGTTTCGTAAAGATTTTATTTCTAGAATATGGCTGACTTACAGAGAGGAATTTCCTCAGATAAAGGGGTCTGCATTAACAACAGACTGTGGTTGGGGTTGCACACTGAGAACTGGTCAAATGCTGCTGGCTCAAGGTCTTATGCTTCATTTTCTCGGTAGAGGTAAGTTATGAGAGAAGATCTCTATATTTGGCATGATAAGCATGGGTGTTCTGTAGAGAGTGTGATAGTCTTTGTGTAGCCCAAATCTGAAGTGCAAGCCAGTTTTCATTCTGGACTCCTCATTAATACTGGAATTGTTAACATTGCATCAGAGCAGTGATCTAGCTGTCCTACTCGTCCATTTCCGAAAAAGGGAATACCAAAGTGTGTCAAAGGAAGATACTGGAAACTCCACAGAAGCTAACTGTGAAGTAAAATACCACAAAAATTTGTGATCCCATACCTGGGTATTATTATTATCCATGCAAGTGTCCAATTCTCTTGAATCTTGCTCATTTCTTGAACTCAAGGTGTGGAAATGAGTTCTGCAGCCCATAGCTGTGGGCTATGGCAAAAGTGATGTTCTTTTATCAGTTTTAAAGTTGTATACTATTCAGTTCTTCTGGTATTTAACATATTGAGTTAATAGAAGGATGCTAATCTATCTTCAATACATCATTCTTTGTGTTGAAATTTGCACTATTTAATTTCCTCCCTTCCCCCCTGCGTACTTACAGAGGAACTTCCATTTTTTTCTTACCATTGTCTATCTCAAAATACTCTCTCAGTCACAGCTGTTTCAAAGAAGTAGCTTTAGGAGACTTGGAACACTTTCCGCTTTCAAAGGCTAAGCGTGCATGTCCTCCCCGTTCTTCCAAGCTGAGCCATGTCCTATGTAGAGGTATTTTTGGTTCTCATCATAGAATCATAGAATCATAGAATCATTGAGGTTGGAAAAGACCTCTAAGATCATCGAGTCCAACCGTCAACCCAACACCACCATGCCCACTAAACCATGTCCCTAAGTGCCTCATCTACTCGTCTTTTAAATACCTCCAGGGATGGGGACTCATCGTTAACCACCTTTTCTTTTCACCCTCTTCTCAATCCCTTTCATAATCTATCACGTTGCCCCTTTCAAACAGTCAGTCATGTCCTCTGTCACCACTGCTTGTTGTCAAAATGATCCAAGACATGGGCCTGAAGTCACCCAGGCATGTTAGTTAGAGAGAATACAGTGTCTTGTTTACTCAGCCATTTGTTGGATCCCAGGAATACTTTCGTAGAAGATAGTTCTGAAAGCCTGTTTTGATAATACTTTGTACTTACTGTGCAAATATGATGTAAGCTGTGAACATAGTCCCAAACCAGCTGCATCACAAAGTCTTCTTTCTTGGCAGTGTCATGACCGAACTGTCAGATTGGCTTACTGAATGTTCCTTTTGCTGTAGATATTTAAGTCATAAAACATTCATTATCCCTTTCAACTGACTGCAAATATCAAAACGTATGAAAATACTTCTGCTGAGAACACAAATCCCTTAAATATAACTTCTGTTATACATACATTTAAAAAAACCTAAAAATCTGATCAGAAGACTACCTGTGAGTGGGAATGCATAACGGCTCATTCTTAAGTAACCCCAAACAAAAAAGCCCCAGGTTTATATCTTTAGAATCCATGGTTACAAAGAATTCCTTGCACTGTCCCCCATGCATCCTAATTTGGAAAGTGATTTGGTGATTACAGAGTGCTAGTGTTTCTGTGGCAATCCAAATGCATAGAAAAATGGAATATGTGTGGTCTTTCTGGACTACTTTTCTCATCACCTAGTCTTCTGACAGCTGGTGAATTATCTTTTGAAAAGCTTTTTATGAGGTCTGGGCAGCTTTTGAAACATATTTAAGTGTTTACGTGAAGTTTTTCATCGCTGTTTACTCTTTTCCCAGAGATGTTTTCATTATAGTTTAATGGTATTGTTTCTGTTACAAAGCAAAACTTGACTGCAGTTACTAGCTGGCATACTTACACTACCACTGCTCCATGCAGTGGAACATTGTTCCTGATATTGCTGAATGATGTTGTAAATGAGTTTTTATTTTAAATATTAAGGTACTGGTAAGTTTTACTTTGAAATACCTGTGCTTAAGACACTGACTTGAATTTGAAGCTCACAGTACAGGAATAGCAAGGCCTGTGATGTTGTTACATTGAGCTTATGCATGCATCTGCCTGGGTCTGCGATGAAAAATTAACATGAGGTTTCACAGAGGGACGCCACTTGTGGTAAGACACAGGATGGTTGTCACACTGTAATAAGAGTGGGTGACATGGATTATGACCATTACCAGCAATACTTGTGACATTACTGGAGCCCTAAGTTAGATTTTAGAATTAAAATATAGTTGCGTCTGTGCTTCCTCTTCATTTCTCAAAGACTTTTACATGGATACTTAAGTAAGAATTGTGAGGAGGGCTGCAGTTCTTGCTCTCTGTCAGTATTAGTTTGAAAAGGTTCCTCTCGCTGCTGTAATGGCAGCTTTCTGAACCTCCAGGAGCTTACCCAAATCTGGTTCATGGAGCAAAAGCACCCCATCCTTACGGTTTGTAGGGTTTGTTCCTTGCTTGCACGTGGCAGCCTTCTGCTTGCCTTCTGGGATGTTCTTTGTAGACCTTCAGGATATGTTCTGATCTAACAGTATGTTCACTGTGTTTCGGAGGTTTCCTCACATGCTCTGTGTTGCAAGTAGTTGTTCGAACTTGTGGGAGAGACTTTCAGTCATCTGACAAGGGAAGCATTACTGTTCTCTATATATGCTGAACCACCATTATGCTCCAAGAGGAACGCTGTGTGTAGGATGCATTGTTAGAGAAACCTTTAGCTAGAAATGCAGACTGTAGATACTGTGCTGAATAATATTCAGACAAGTTTGTCTTGTAATCTAGGTAAAGAATTCACAAATTTAGTGAATAAAGAAATCTTGTCTATTTTTCTGCTGATCTTCTTTGACAGTTTGCCAGGAAGAAGTGTTTGTTTTTACATGAATAATTCCTCAGGTTTGCCTATTTTTTAATAGCTGACAAACCAGAAGAATTAAAAACAGCTTTTGAAACTTCTTGTTTGACATGGATAAAACTTTTTAGATGGTACTGAATAGCTAACTTTTATATTTTTAATATGTAAGATAATTCTAACCTTCGACCTACTGTCTGACCTACTATCTCAGATAGCATAAACTGCTAACAAATGTACAGTTAGTAGTATTTCATTTCACCTATCATTCAGCAGAAAATAAAACCAAATCATATTCCACTTGAATTCTTTGTTTACATTTTAACACTGACATTTGCATCTTGGTATGTAAAGTACATATTATTGGTTTGAGGAACATGGGGGAGAAAGGGATGTGCTTTGCTAATTATACCAAAAAGTTAATATTAAGCCTAATATGCATCTTAAAATTTCTTGCTGCAGCCTGGGTCTGGCCAGATGCGTTGGACATTGACAATTCAGATTCTGAATCATGGACAGCCCATACAGTGAAAAAGCTGACAGCATCATTTGAAGCATCGCTTACAGCAGAAAGAGAACCCAAGATCCTGTCAAATCATCATCAGGGAACATTAAAGAGAAACTGTGATGACAATGAAATGCAAAATGAAGTTTATCATAGAAAAATAATTTCTTGGTTTGGCGACTCTCCACTGGCAGCTTTTGGCTTACATCAGCTAATAGAATATGGAAAGAAGTCTGGAAAACTTGCTGGAGATTGGTATGGGCCTGCAGTTGTTGCACACATTTTAAGGTAAAATACCTTTATTCTTTGTTGTTACCGTGCCTTACACATTACAAGAGAAGCATTTCAAAACAATATGAGATTACTTCAGCTTAATTGAGCATCTAACTGTTCATTATTGGCTTTGTAAAATGTCCGTGTTAGTAGCAATTCTAGAGGTTTTTCAGAGGCAGGAAGGGAGATAGCAGTAGGTGCAGCAACTGAACTCTGAGCCTTTGTTCAAGCTTATTTTAGAAAAAACTCGACATTCCTGTTTTCCTGTACTTTGGGCAGTAGAAGTCCCAAGTATCTCTCCCAGACCTGGTCTTTTAAATAGAGCTGCATTTAATGAAATGTTCTAAAAACTAACCACTCTTTCAACCTTGGAACATGCATAACATTATAGATTTTTTTTTTTTTTTTTAATACTGTAACCTGGGGGCTGTAATGTACTGATAGTGTAATGAAATGTCAGAGCTAAAATTGATGTTTTCAGCATTACTTTGCACACATCAAATTCTTGTGAAACTGTAAATGTATGGGACTATTAATATTATAATTATATCACAGTAAAAGTAAAGGGTCTGTGACATTCAGTGTGGTTAAAAAAAAAGAAGAAAGTCAAATTTCTCCATACTATGTGCCTTTATATGCCATTTCTTTGAATATTACTGATTTTTTTTGTTTTGGTTTTTTTTTATAGCCTTATATGCTTATGTTCTTGGTGGATTCCAGTTTACCTGTAAACTGAATCACTAATAAGTAATTTAAGCAGCAGAAGCCAAAGTTCATACGTTTATCTATAAATATGTGAATAGAAGAATTATATATTTTATAAAAGTATATTAATCTTAAATGAACCTGTACTGAAATAATCAGGTGTATATGTGTGCATACAGGCAAATGCATACAGTGATGTGAGAGGTTAGCATTATTTATGTGTTTCTTCTATTTTTTTTGTGATGATAGAAATTGTCAGAATTCTTTTTGCGTGTTTTAAACTGCAGTAGCCTGTTCACCTAATGGGAGCAGGGAGGCAGGGGGATTTGGTCCAGAATTGCATTCAACACAAACTCACTAGTGATTTCCAACACTGCAAAGGTTTCATTTCCTAGGAGATGTACTCCTTTGAAGTCTTACAGCAGTACTAACAATGTATAGCTCTCTCATAACTTGAGAATGACTGTATTAAATGATTCCTCAAAATATATTGTGAAATAAAGGGATAGTGACCATCTAATGCAAGTGTGTATTGAAGTCAAAGGCTAATCTTCTATTTTGAAGTTTAATTTCTTTACAAATGTTGTCCTTGATTGATGATCATGCTTCAGACTATTGACATACATGTTCTTTTTAGTTTTTATGTCCATTATTCTTACTCTTTTGAGGATAGCCTAATATTGCAATTACCTTTTTGAAAGTTTTGGTGAAACCTTACAGCTTTTCATGTGCTAGCCTTTATTTCCATAGACACGAGGTGCTAATTTGTGGCTAGTTATATGAACTGAGGTCAACTAAAGAGATGTATAGAGTTGAAAATAATATTTTTGTCAACAAATTTAGCCTTTATTATCCCAATATACTGGCAGAAAATTGTTATAAACAGAAAGAAATTAGGTAGTGAATATGAATGTCATTTTAAGTTAATGTGTTTCTTTGGGCTGTTTTTTTGTGGTTTTCATTGTTTCTTCTAAATAGCCAGACATTGTCACCTTTTGCTTGGGAAAAACATGTTGCCATATACACTGGATTTTGGTATCCTGTGTTTAAAAACAACCAGCCAACATCCCCACCCCACCCCCATCTGTATTTATCAGGAATGGAAGGTGTCTTGAATAAAAAAAAAAAACCACAATCCCCCCCACCCCAAAAAAAACCCAAACAA